AACGGAGAGGCAATTTATGCTTGATGGCGTGTTTTAAATTTCATTTTCGTGCCATTCCATTTATTTTGGGATCGGTAATGGTTAGCAATAACACATACATTTTCTGAAAATTGTATATACGTGCTTTCGGAAGAGTTCTTTTTTTTTTTTTTTTAATTATTTTGAGTACTTATTCGGTATACACGGTTTTTTTTTTTTATATAATAGAGAGGTGTGATTGCTCGATTACGTAGTCAAGTTATTTTTGTATCCCGCAGAAAGATTGATTTCGCAAAGCGAATTACGCTCTTTCTAATAGATTATCTTTAATGATAAAACGATACAAATGATTTCACGACGAGCATTGCTCCATGATTGATCACCGACTCTTATTGAATTTGTCCAAGAATAAATTGCCATTCCATTACTCACGAGAGTTGTAAGTTGCGGTTCTAGCAAAACCGGATAGAATCTTGTACGGCGTGTCCAAATTGTTCCCGGAGAAATAACAAGAAATATTTCCCCGCATTAATCCAACGTGGGCAGGAACGATTTTGCAATGGAAAGCAATACCGTCGTTAAAAGAAATACAATATCCGTGTGGCGTTGTGCGTCGATCTTTACGTTGGGATTAAAGTTTTTCGCGTGTCGACGAAATTGAGCGCGTGCTTTATGAAATTCAACTAACGAGAAGGAAAATCATACCGGCGAGAGCAAAATGAAACATTCGTAGAATATATATTTTTCAGTTCGTTTCTCCAGTCTTCGTATTGGAATTTTTCCAATAACGTGTTTGCCCTCCGCGAATCAACATTCTTCCTTTTTCCTCTCTCCCACCCGATCTGCGCATGTAAAAATGAATTCCAATTACAAGATAATTTCCCCATCCGGCAGTTTATACGAGCCGATCGGAGCGGTTCTCGATGCTTTTGGTTTAATTAATTGAAAAAAAAAAAAAGAAAGAAATAGAAAAACGAGCGTCACAGCGTTCGAAGTTGGTATTGCTGCCTCGGTTCAGAAAAGGATGCTCGAAAGATTTCTGTTCTTGTTAGGAAACAGTTTCGAGTGGTTGCTCGAGTCTCTGTTCTTAGGCTCGCGCTTGCACGTTTCACGTGGGCCATTTTATTCCCTTCATTTTCCCTTCTTTCTTTTCTTTCCGAACCCCTTCTTCTCTTTCGCCGCCGTTTCCTTTTTCTTCCTCCCTCTTTTTGCAGACCGTTTCTTAAGTAGCAGGTAATTAAAAGTTCGAACCAACCACGATTCACGTCTGAAAGGATCAGCACCAAGCTCGCTCTCGCCTTTTCTCCTTTCGTTCACCTTTCCGCGCGTCACGCGCGGCCTCTCGACTTTCTTGCTTTCTGCGCCCTTTGTTTCCCTTTTTTTTCGATCAATTCTTCTTCTGTTTCGTTTCCTTTCTTCTTTTTCTTGTCTCTTGTTGAAAAAAAGTTGGCCGCATTCGCGACAAGTTCGACGATTCTCGATGAGAAAAGTTAAAAAATTCCAACGGCGGTTTCCGAGCGACGAACGGTTGTTCTAACGTTCTTTGATGTTCTCTCGCCTTCTTCGGATGCTCTTCACCGAGACACCGGAAAAACTGTCGCTCGCTTTTAAACGGGAACTTCACCCCTCGCCAGTCGCCGATGAATTTCGACTGAGAAAGATGAAAGCACCGTGAAATGTGACGAGGGTTTAATTACTTCTTTTAACAGTGTTTCCTATCTTGTTTTCTCATTTCTCTTCTATCGCTAGTTGAAACGTATTCATATACAGCGTGCTCATCGGATAATGAGAAATCTCACTGTACGTATTCTTCTTGAGAACGATATCGTAAATCGACTGTCGTAAAGAAAGTACATGTACATACATCGTCTCTTTTTCCCCTCTCAAGAATAAAACAAAGAGTGAATTTCAAAGCAGGATATCCGGATATTGGATCTAATAGAGGGAGCTTCGAAAATTCGTAGGAGATCGTTTCGAAGAGGGTTGAAAGACACGGCATTCTTCGGCGGAATATGACGATAGCTGGGGACCGTTAATGGTTTTCTAGTTGTGTGAGACGGGGGAGGGAACCATTAAAACGTTTTCCCCGCATTCGAAGAAATTAATACCAATTGTCGTTATCGCGCGGTTTGAAAGAGGTGCCTACCAGTTAGGTGGTAATCGCGGTATGTGGACGTGAAGGGGGACACCATTATCGCCGCCGCATTTCCCACCGTGTGGGCGGTTCGCTCTGGCCTCGGAGGAAACGCGAATCTTCTCTTTTTTTTCTTCTTCTTCTTTTCGTACTGCTTCACGTTCTCGCGTGCAAGTATGGAATAATCGAATAATAGAGAGAAAGAGAGAGAGAGAGAGAGAGAGAGAAAGTAATACGAGCAATAGGATTCCTATATCGCAGTCTGCGATATCCATCCGAGCTAATAGGATTTTTATTGGTGCTTTACGATACCGTTTACGAGAGTCCCACGAAAAAAGAGACAATAATAGTAACGGGATATTTTTATATTTTCATTGGCTGCTAGACCGAATTAATTAATTATTTGCCAGAGGAATAATGGTCCACGATACTCGCCGAGTCTATCTCTAGCTTTTGTCTGTTTGTCGCGTTATATTCTACGCGATAATATTCCATAAAACTCGGCGCTGTCGTCGAAAAATTACTTGTACAACCGACCGTAAATTTTCATTTTTATATCGAGATAAAAATATTAAACGTTCCGACTAGAGAACGAGAGCACAGGCGTGACGGCACCTTTTACCGTGAGTCTCCTCTTTGCTTCACGGCACAGTAATTTTTACGTGTTTTACGCTATCCCCCGATCGATAAAATCGCTACCTTCTGCCTCTAGGTCTTTAATATCTGGACTGCCCTCATGTCTCTCTGTGTGTCGGTGTGCTTCGAAGAAATAAAGAATCTTTCATTGTCAATCTCTCTCCATCTCTCTTTTTCGTTTCGTTTCGTTTCGCTTCGTTCCGTTCACGGTGACCCAGTTAAAGGAATAAAATTGTCCTGTAAAAAGAGCTCATTAAAATACTTTTCGATAGATCGACGCTGCCTCTTGCTAATGAAGCTTCCGCCAAACCCTTGAAAGGTTCGGCGAAATTATAAACAGAGAAAAAAGAAAAAAAGGAGAGAAAGTGGGTTAACGCGATCGAAAAGTTGGAGATCGGCAGCGGCGACGGTTGGCAAAGGGGAACGGGGCAATTTGCCGAGGCGTAACTTTCGAAAATCCGTGGATTTCAATGAGTACTGGGTGGCGCGCGCGCACCAGCTGCTTAGAGCGGTGTAAACTTCTCGGCGGAAATTCGCGCGACGACGACAGGAAGTCGCCGGAGCTGTATTTACGAAGACGGAAATATTCTCGCGGAAGTAAATTCCCCGTTTACGACGTCGCCCGGTATGCCGTTTCGAAAAAGCTTTATTCCCGCGTCGCGCGAACCCCCCCCCCCCCCCCCCCCGGGTCACAACGGTCACGGGCTCCGGTCTCATTGTATCGTGAGATTATGCCAAGTGCACAAAAATACGAGTCGTCCGGTGTCGAGTTTAAAGGTTTAAAGTCGAAGCTCGTCATCATCGACGCTGTTTCAAACGCGGTGGTAGTTTACGATGCGATTTCTGTTTGCGTATATCTGTGAAAGGAAGTTTGATCAATTTGATGGTACACACGATCACCGCCACGTGTGTACTTCTGCGAGATGTATCTTCGTTGATGTGAAAGATCTTGAAAAGCAAGACAGAAGATCGAGGAAATTTATAATCAATAATTTCACCGCGAAATCACCCGGTATTAGACTCGATTATCTCTGGAGATCAGTGTAGCGGTGTTAATTTATTTCGCAAATGTTCCATTTTAACATCAAAAATCACCATAATCTCTCGTTCGGAGCAACGAAGGGAATGAAACCACGGGCAGAGTAAATTCTGATTTCGCTCGTAACGAAAATAGTGGGACGGGGGATTTAAATTGGATCCGATTTCCTCGAAAATGTAAGAATCGTAAGAGCGTGATCCGGCAAGCGGTGCGCGTGTGTTATTCGCGAAGTGGTTGGACCGCGCGGAGCGATCGTTAGCGCTGCCGACCGTTTAAAACAAATTCACGCGGTTGTTCTCTTCCCCCCCCCCCCCCCCCCCATCCGGACCCCTTTTTCATCTGGTCGGAGCGTTGTCAGTCTGATCTGTTTCGCAGTCAACGAATTCCGTACGCGTTCGTGTTGGAACATCCGCTGTCCCGACACCAGCACCGATAAAACTAGCTCAGTGACGTTTCTGATCCGGTAAACAACCGGCCGCGCCGTTCTTTGTTCAGCCGAATGCCAGTTCGGAAAACGATGGACGACCGTGTCCTCCCATCAGTGGCCTGTAGCATCGATCAATTTCACGTTGCACTTCGTTTTCTCGAAGGGCGATTGGTCGAAATGAAAGTGAAGAGCTACCGGACGTTGGGAAATGACAAAGTTCGATATTTCTCTCGCGCGGACTCTCCGTTTCGTTGTCGCTGTTCTTATATTTTTCATGTCGAGACAAATTCGAACGAGTCGAGAATGATCTGCGGATATTGTTTCGTACGAAATTACTCGACGTCGGGCGACAACAAAGCAGTCGACGGGTCGGAACTTTCAATTCGTAAACGTTTCTTAATCAATTATTTGTCCGTGGCTGGAACTTTCGTTTCAACGTGGGAATCAGCACGGTGCGCCGACCGCGAGAATTCTCATTGCGAATTAAACGGCTGTGGCACGGCGACGGTCACGAGAATTCCCAAGACGGGCGCGATAAAGTCAAACTCGATGCTACCACGATAACTCGCTTATCGTGGTTGGATTATTCGGTTTCGTCGAACGAGGACGACAGTGTCGTTAGTCGAGCGACAAATTGCCATAGGCTTGACAGCATCCTACTAGCCTGGACTCGTTATGAAAATCGAGAGCGATCGGTCAACGAGACACTGTTTCTCACGTCATAACGTATCGTACGTAACGCAGGTTTGTTATATTACAAAAATTTTTGATTTTGTTGTTCCCAGGACTATTGATCGGAGCAATGGAACGTCTTTCCCGGAGCGCTGTTTTGCATCCAAGGACTCGCGATGATGGATACGTGAAACTTTAAGTGTGAAAAGTGATCGAGAGAAACAGTGATATCATCGAACTCGTGGACAAATCCGTATATAAGAATGTGTCGAAGTTCGCGGAAAATCTCCAGCCGAAAAGAACGGAGAGGATCGTTGAAATCGGCGAGGTGATCGCGTAGAACTCGTAGAATGTCTTCCTGAAGAGAACGAGCAATCACAATAGACGAAGATGTGCTGCTCGGGTGGCCCTGGTGGCATCAGACTAACCAGGTGTGGCGTGATTTGCGGAATCGCGGCGCTCGCTGCTCTCAGTACCGCGCTTTTGGGCCCTGCTTGGCTTCACACCGAGGAAAAATTGAATCCATCCTATCTGCCGCGTAATTTCGCCAATCTCGTGAGCGTGCAGTTCAAATTGGGCCTGTTCAGGGTCTGTCCGAAAATCGTGAAGCCTGCCAACTTTACAGCCCGTGAGTAATTTCTCTCTTCTATGTTCTTTCCTTATTCTTTCTTGTTTGGAATTAAACACAACTGTAATTATATTTTTTAAAACGCGATGGAAGAAAGACTTTAGATTTCATAATTTTCATATTTTAACATTATACTTTTGTACAAGTAGATGAAAAAATAGAAAGTGGGAGAGAAATTCGATCCATTCTCCCTTGGAGATTTTCACTTCGTCCCGTTGTTCTTTCAAGGAACAACGGGTCAGATAAGCCGGAAGAGGGAAACTGTTAGGATCACAGGATTACAAGACTATCTGTATTCATTAAACTCTTATCTTCTCTACTTAGGCCTTGCTAATTAAATAGTCCGTCAGAATTAATACGCGACACTGTCTTTGTCCTCCCTTCAACTTCTCTATCTTTCTCGCGAACAGTTCCTCAGACTCGCGAACAGTTCTCCCTCTATTTTCTCGCGAAAACTTTACGCAAAGCAGAAAACCTCTATTCAAAAACTTCGACATCCCCAATAAGCCTCGTTCTTTTGCAAAATTCTTTCTCAGTTTCTCGATGAAATTGTCGCGTTCGTTTAAAGAAGCGAGGTCTTCGCAGAGCTGCCGTCGTGACGTTTTCAACGTTTCGACAAATTTCCTCTCTTCCCTTCCGGGAGAAGAAGGGAAAGAACCGAAACGTCTTCTCGCGCGTCTCCGCGAGGAATCTTAGGCGGATGATCTCGATTTTAGGTAAATCATCCAAGAACGATTTCCCTGGAAAGTCGTGGAACGTTACAGATGTCTATCAGACATTTTCACAAAGTCAATATCCAGCCGAGAGAGTTAATCCCGGCCGAGATACCCCGGTTGATCTTGCAGTTGAACAGCAGAATTTCATCCGAAAACTTTCCCCGTAAGTTCAACACGGACAAATATAGAAAACATCGCTGGAAAGTTCTCGCCCGCGTTCCTCCCCCCGCGTTTCTGCGAGAGAAAGAGAGAGAGAGAGAGAATATGTGTGTGTGCCCACTCGTGGCAACTCCAACAGAAGGGGAACACCTTTATCTAGAGACTTCGGGAATTTTCTGTCAGCTTTGCGCGCTCTTCCTATCCCGCAAGAAAAGTGGTAGCTAGAGGGAGAGGGGAGAAGGAGAGAGATCCCGGAGATTGCCACCGCCTTTGAACTTTTCTCGACGAACGCGCCCGCGCTGTCTCTCGTCTCCGCGAGACGAAATCTCGCAGGACAGGGGGGGGGGCGAGAGTGGGTGAATCGCCGCGTTTGCGACGGGCGAGCGTAAGGATTTTCAGGAACGGCGTGGAGCGAACGTAAAAACAAATGACAGTGGCTGTAAAGCGGGGTCGAGGAAAGCTCGAGAGAAAGGGGCACGGTTACAAGGGTGGTTGCAACCACCCGGACGATGACAATTTCTTTTTATTCCCCTTGCTGTCTCGTCTCGCTCGCTCGACCAGAAGCTTTCCACTTTTGTTTCCTTTCTCGGCTCTCCTTTCTCCTCCGTTCCCCTTTTTCTTACTTTCCTTCCCATGGTTCAAGACCTCTCTTTTCTTTTTTTTTTTTTTTTTTTTTTTTTTTTTGTTTTTTCCTTCCTTCCGGCAGCTCTGTGCACGTCGCGCCTGTATTTTTCCTTGGACGTCGACGTGAGTTTATCGCGCGATTCTTTTTTTCTTTTCTTTTTTTTTTTCTTTTTTTGTAGTCTGGCAACCGTCTAGCGAATAATAACAGTTGCTCGATTTTTTCCGAAACGTTAAAAGCTCCGTTTCAGTCGAAAGAACCACGTTCGTCGCGTACGCGATGATCGCAGTAACTAGGAGGTTAATCTATCAACTCGGCGACCAGAGTTTCGCATTTCGCTCTCTCACGTTATTTCCTCGACCACGGTGTTCAGAACTGAGATCCAGTTTCGACGAATGGAAGGAAAACAGAGCGGGTCAGTTGGCGAAAGTTGCGAGTGAGACGTTGTCCGACGCTCTCCATCGTTTCCTTCTGTATTCCCTTGGGATCCGCGCCTTGTCCCGTTCCCCATTGTTTTCTTTCGCTTTTCTTCTTCTCTTTCTCCTCCTTCCCCCCTGCCCCGACGCTCTCTATGGTCCAACATACCAGCACGAATGGAATCCACGAAGCGTCCGGTAAGACAAATCCACCTACCGGGAAATCAGACTCGGGTACAAAATTAAATACAGCTTTCGGGAATGTTTAAGAAACAATACGAAACAAACACGATCGCTTTCCTTCTTCGATCGCAAAACGACATGTCTCCGGTGAAACTTCCCCTTCCCAGTCTGTTGGAGACTCGACTATTTTCCAAATTTCAGGAAAGATAGCTTACGGCGACGCGTCGCAAGACTGGCAGGCAAGACGTTTCCCGACAAGTTCGTGCTCGTGGCCGATAATCGTTCGTTTTCTTCCCCGTTTTTTTTTTCTTTCCCCTCCCTTCCCACCGTACAGTTTCACACGATAAATTTCCCTTACGCGATCAGACCCGTTGGAGCGGCGAAGATAAATCTGACGTAGCGCCAAGGGGATTCCAGTCCGGCTCGTTAAAAATGGAAATTACCGGCATTTTAAAAAGCTGATCTCGCAGAGCGCGCGCGATCTCCGACCGGAGGAGAGAGAGAGAGAAAAGGAAACGAGTCGGTAGAATTTCGTCTGGGTAGCGAATCTCGGTCTTCCGCGAGATCCACCACCCGTTGCTAACGAGTCCTTATTATCCTCGTCATCGCGTCGGTCGGGTTTTCGTTTCGATCCGGCCGACCAATCACCGCGCGAATCTCTGGCAGGGAGGAGTAGTACACCGGTGAAAATTCAGGACGAGCTCGGTAATCCATTTCCAATGGTTCGTCGTCGTCGTCGTCTAATGACTGACATTAAATAAAATACTGGAGATCGTTCGGAAATAGCGACGAGCCGGAGCAACGTTGCCAGACATTGCCACTCTTCTGTCTGGCCATGCCCGCGCCGTTACTACTGATCGCTTGTCGTGGAAACTGGGACAACGCGATAGCGGGAAAACACGCGCTAGCGATCTGATTTAACGTTTCGCGGATTGGTAATCACGTAATTTAATGTATATATTCAGTGGATAAATATTGATACACGCTTGTACATTGTCTGGAAAATCACCGCGGTCTTTTTAAGCGAGAGATTTCAACGCGTCGCGTATTATTCATTATTATGTCTGTAGAAACGTGTGTGACGTTTCTTTCTTTGTTTTTTTTTTTTCTTTTTTTTTTTTCTTCTAAATCGAACGTAGCGACAGGGTTGCACAGTGCTGTTCGTATTAACGATCAGCATTATGTGTTAACTGTAACGTTAAGCCCAATTCCGTGTCGCGTATCGATCTGAATCGGGCACAAGGGCGTACTGATTGGCAGATCTGCAAATGATTAAATCACGCTAATTGACCGATTACCGCAATTTCGTGTCAACTAACGTGATGCCAGTCTTTAAATTAATCGAATTACGTCACGAACAAGTAACCAAGTTGCATATCAATGCGCGAATCGAGCGCAGGAACCCGCACGCGGGTTATACATCCCGGGAAATTTGCAGTTTCGCTGCTCGGACGTCAGGTGCAACGTACATTCGCTTTTCTTCAGCTTTCCGCACCTCCCCTGTCGAACACGCCTATTTCCCGAAGATGTATTCAGATATTCAGTTCGTCGAACTTTTATCGGTACTCGAACGCTCGACAAAATTCACTTCTATTACTTCGTACGACGAAGAAACGGAGGAGAAAAAGTCTCGTTTAATTTGTCAGCCAAGCACGATCGCGCGTGCGGCTTGGAAAATCTGGAGATGGAGAAAGGGGTCGAGTTATTTTTCCATGTGGACGATTAACGATTAGTTGCGGAAAGATTGCAAAAGTGATTCTTTCTCTCGGCGGTTGTTTGTTTCACAGTCGAACCGTGAACGACTCGCAATTTCATTTTTCAGGAAAGCCGGGGTGGGGGCAGGCAAAAAAACGTTTGACAAACGATGTCGCGATATTATAAAGCAATTGATGAATGGCTCGATAGCCAAAGGACGGCGACAAAGTGGCTCGTGTGTTTCTTTTACCCTTCGTACTCCCCCAGAATCTTTTGTCTTTTTCTTTCAATTTTCGCCGGTTTCTCTCGTTCTTCTATCGGCTGGCTGGCTCCCTTTTGCCATACAGACCCGATAAGTCGCCTTCTCAATGGAGACAAATCGTTGACGTTCCGCAATTTCACCGCAACGGTGACTAATTGCCGAGAATGTAACCAGTTCTATCGATGTTTTATAAACGTAGACGTAAGAAGCTACAGTCGGCCGTGGATTTCTAATTTGTCGTTAATGGTTCTACGAAATTTCTGTTCCCTTTGGGAATTGCACGCGAGAGCGACTTGCAGTTACTCGTAGCTGAAACTTTCGACGAAATATTAATTAGGTTGTTAATTACGCGGAGATGGGGTTAAAAGGATTCGGTCGTTAAAGATTCACTTTGAGAGATTTAATTTCTTCGATCGTGGACTCCCGGGATAGGAGGTGTTTGCTCTTTGATATTCCTTGATGAAATTCCTATAATTTTCTTAATGAAATCCCTATAATTTTTAAACTGTTGTACCAGGACTCTGTTTGAACTGAAACTGAAAGTGGCCCTGTGTTTTATTCACGAAGATCTGCAACGGCCAAGTAGCTCGAGAGATGGTCTTCATTTATTTATTAAACCTGTTCGTTTGCGAGCAAACGGAGGAAATGAGCTGGCGTGTTTCATTCGGTAGATCGATATTCACGCATAGGCAAAAAGGCATACGCACAATTAACCATTTTCTTGAGAGAAAATTACGCAGATATTTGTTCAGGAATATATAGTTGCACCGACTTCTCTCAATTCCGTTTCATCGTTGTGCGTTCTAAAGGGATTTTAAAGAGTCTTCTCGTTTGTTCCATAAAAAATATTTGCTCGGAAGCTATTTCAAACTCTCCTCTCTTTGCCAAAGAGAGGAGAAGAAGAAGAAGAAGAAGAAGAAGAAGAAGAAGACTTGTTGGAAGGGTTA